AAAAATATAAAGAATTTTTAAAATTCTGTTTCAAATCTCCAAAGATTTTAAAGATACCAAATACTCTAACAGAAAAAACAAAAATTCTAAAGATCTAAACGTCGCAAAGATCTGAAGAATGCTGTTTTAAATTTTTATGAATTCTAAAAGCACTAGAGGCCATGAACACCCTAAACATTGTAAAGGTTCCAGAGTTTCCAAAAATTCCACAGAAGTAGACCCTTGAGGTCTATTAATTTTCGAAAATCTGTAACAATTTAGAAAGTCGGAAAAAGCTGGTAGATCTTGAAATCTTGAAAATTTTAGAAAGGGTTGAAAATTCTGTCATAACTGGAGCCTGATAGTTGTAGAAATTTTTAAAACATCCTGAAATTCGAGGCATTTTGTGTATTTTGGAAAATCTGAAAAATGGGGCTAATCTGGAAAACCTAAAAATTCTAGAGATTTTGGAAAATTTGACAATTCCGGAAAATCAAAAAAAAATTAAAAGGTTGCACATTCTTAGATTGTAGAGATTTTAAAAATTTCACTCGAAATTGCATTTTTTTTCAGTTTTCGATTTTTCGGTTTCTCAACTTTAATTTTTCTATTTTTCATTTTTTCGTTTCCCCAATTTTTCAGGTTCTTGATTTTTATTTTTCATTTTCCCTATTTTTTAATTCTCTTTTTTAGATTTTATATCACAATTTTTGTTTTTACATTCCTTTCCTTTTTTCAATGTTTATTCAGATTTTATAATTTTTCGTTCATTCAATTTTTCTATTTTTTTCAATTTTTTAATTTACAGTTATACGATTTGCGATTTCTTTAATTTTCAATACATATTTCGTTTCTTCTTATTTTCCATTTTTTCTCAATTTTAATCTTTCTTTTTTCATTTTATTCATTTTCGTTTTTTAATTTTTGTACAATTTTGCAAGTTTTCCGTTTTTTTTCAATCGAAAACTTGAAAAATCGAAAAACTGAAAAAACAAAAAATTGCAAATTGAAGAACAAAAAAAAAACAAAAATAGTAACAATGAAATACCAAAAATTAACGAATCGATAAAAATTGGAAAAAAAAAACGAATCAAATCAAAAAATTGGAAAATCCAAATATATATTATGAAATCGAAAAACCGTACAATCGTCAAAATTGTAAATCTGAAAAACCGTATGAAAGTTCGAAACATTGAAAAATTAAATATCGAGAAATTAAAAAAAAAAATTGAAAAATTAAAAATTGAAAATTCGAATAAATGAAAGTTTTAATAATATAATAATTGAAAAATGGAAAAATTTTAAAATCGTAAGAATGAAAAATTTTAAAAAAGAATACGCGAAAAATTGAAAATCGAGAAACTGAAAAAAACGAAAAATTAAGCAGCCGGAAAATTGAAAACCGGAAAACTGCAAAATCCAAAAACTGAAACGAAAAATTGAACCATCCAAAAATTTGAAACTTCCAAAAAATGTAATATCGAAAAACTGAAATATTTAAAACGGAAAATACCAAGAGTTGCGCATCCTAAAATTGAGGAAACAAAGAAATGAAACATTGAAAAATTGAAAAACCTGAAGTTGATAAAACAAAAAATTATAAAATTAAAATATTAAAAATCAAAAAATTGTAGAAATAAAGTAAATTAAAAAACCGAAACGAAAAATTGCAAATCGAGAAAATGAAAAATTAAAAAATGAAAACTCGAGAAACGATTTTTCAACTTTTCGATTTCCCCATTTTCGATTTTCCGATTTCTGGCTTTTGCAGTTTTTCATTTCTTCAATTTTTCAATATTTCGATTGTGCAGATTTTTGGTTTTTCTATTTGTTCAATTTTTCGTTTTTGATTTATCAATTTTTCAATTCTTCAATACTTTGACTGTTCAATTTTTCAATATCTCGTTTTAATTTGTTGATTTTTTACTTTTTCAATATCCTAATTGTTTGATTTTTTAAATTTTAGATTTTTTCATGTTTCGGTTTCTCAATTTTTCAATTCTTCGATTTTTCGTTTTTGCACTTTTTGCGTTTCTTTCAATTTTTGATTTCTCAGTTTTTCGACTATTTCTGGAATTTTAGATTTTTAATTCGATTTTAGTTTTTCAATTCTTCAATTTTTTAATTTTTCGATGTTTCAGGTTTTTGATTATTCGATTTTTTAAATTTTCGATTTTTTGATTTAGCAGTTTTTCGGTATTTCAGTACTGGGATTTTTCAATTTTTCGTTTGTTCAATTTCTCGGCTTTTTGTTTTTCTAATTCTAAATTTTTTTATTATTCTATTTTCCGATATTTCAGTATTACGATTTTTCATTTTTTTCAATTCTTCATTTTTAAATATTTAGATTTATCATTTTTTCAAAAATATGTTTTTTTAATTTTGCACTTTTTTAGATTTTTCTGTTTCCATTTTATACATTTTCGTTTTTTTCATTTTTGATTTTTAATTTTACAATTTTACAATTTTTCCATATTTTTTATTCGAAAAGTTAAGAGATCGAAAAACTAAAAAAACCAAAAATTGCAAAATCAGAACCAAAAAATGAAAGGGATTTTAAGAATTCTGTTTCAAATCTCCAAAGATTTTAAAAATAGCAAATACTCTAACAGAAAAAAACAAAAATCCCAAAGATCTAAACGTCGTAAAGATCTGAAGAATGTTTTTTTTTTTAATTTTTATGAATACTAAAAGCACTAGGGGTCTTGAAACCCCGAGAGCTTCCAAAAAAGTATGGACTTTGAGGTCTATTAATTTTTGAAAATCTGTAAAAATTTAGAAAGTGGAAAAAAGCTGGTAGATCTTGAAATCTTGAAAATTTTAGAAAATCCGGAAAATCGAGGCATTTTGTGCATTTTGCAAAATCTGAAAAATGGGGCTAATCTGGAAAACTTGAAAATTCTAGAGATTTTGGAAATTTTGAAAATTCCGGAAAATAAAAAAAATAAAAAGTTGCACATTCTTAAGAATGTAGAGATTCTAAGGATTCCAAAGTTTCCAAAGGTTTGAAAGATTTAAAAGTTTCAAAACTTTCAAAGGTTCTAAACACTCGAGACGTTCTAAAGACCTTAAAGATTTCGCTCAAAATTGCAATTTTTTTCATTTTTCGATTTTTCGATTTTTCGGTTTCTCAATTTTCCAAATTCTTTATTTCTATTTTTCATTTTTCCGATTTTTTAATTTTCATTTTTTCGATTTTATATCACAATTTTTGTTTATTCATTCCTTTCATTTTTTCAATGTTTCTTTAGGTAATTTTTCGTTCATTCAATTTTTTAATTTCCAGTTATACGATCTTGCGATTTCTTTATTTTTTAATACATATTTGTTTTTTTTTTATTTTGCACTTTTTCGATTTTTAAGTTTCTCAATTTTAATCTTTCTTTTTGAATTTTTCATTTCTTCAAATTTTTAAATTTCTTGATCCCCAATTTTTAGATTTTTCAAAGTTTTCATTTTATTCATTTTCGTTTTTTAATGTTTGTACAATTTTTCAACTTTTCTATTTTTTTTTTTCAATCAAAAACTGGAAAAATCGAAAAACTGAAAAACGGACAATTGCAAATCAAAGAACAGGAAAACAAAAATATAAACATTGAAATACCAAAAAATTAACGAATCGAAAAAATTGGAAAAAGGAAAAAACAAATCAAATCAAAAAATTGGAAAACCCAAATATATATTATGAAGTCGAAAAGCTGTATAACGTCAAAATTGAAAAACCGTATGCAAGATCGAAGCATTGAAAAATTAAAAATCGAGAAATTAAAAAATACAATAGATGAAAAAGTTTTAAAATCCAATCATTGAAAAATGGAAAAATTTTGAAATCGTAAAAATGAAAACGTGAAAAATTTTAAAAATGAAGAAACGAAAAATTGAAAAATCGAGAAACTGAAAAAACGAAAAATCAAATAATCTAAAAGTCGGAAAATTGAAAACCGGAAAACAGCAAAATCCAAAAAATGAAACGAAAAATTGGATACATGAAAAACTGAAAAATCCAAAAAAATATTTGAGTATTACGATTTTTCATTTTTTTTCAATTTCTCATTTTTAAATATTTAGATTCATCATTTTTTCAAATGTTAACTTTCGGAATTCTCCATTTCTCGATTTTTCGATTTAATAAATTTTCGTTTTTTTTCGATTTTCATTTTTAATTTTCGGTTTATCAATGTTTGGATATTTTAGTGTTTGAATTTTTCAATATTTTGGTTCCACAACTTTCCACATTTTTTCAAGTTTTCAATTTTTCCATTTTTTTATCTTTCAATTTCTCGATTTTTTAATTTGTCCATCCAGATTTTTTGATTTCTCAGTTAATCGATTATTCAATTTTTCAACTAATCGATTTCTGGACTGGTTTAATTTTAGATTTTTCGATTTTTTGATATTCTCATTTCTCGATTTTTCGTTACTTCAGGTTTTTCACTTTTCAATTTTTTAAAATTTAGATTTTTCGATTTATCAATTTTTCGATACTTCTGTTTTGGAATTTTTCAGTAGGTACTTCGTTTCTTCAATTTTCCGTTATTTCGTTTAGATGTTTCGAATTTTTTCCGATTTGTCAGTAGATCTATACTTAATTTTTCTGTTTTCGAAATTTTGGATTTTTTATTTTCAATTTTCTGAACTTTTAAACTTTAAGATTTTCAATATTTTGATGTTTTGATTCCTCAATCTTTTGTTTTTTTCCGGATTTTTGGAGTTTTTAATTTTTTAAATTTTTTATTTCTCAATTTCGCAAACAATTTTTATAATTTTTCAAAGAAGCGGAATTTGTTTGGTTGCACTTCAGAGGCGAGGGAAGGTCTGTCAAAATAACTTTCGACAGATTTTTTTAAGGGAAAATCACGGACTATTTATTACAACTCCATCTGTTCGGCAAACGGAGTATAGAAACATGATGCTTCATAAATTCGACCTGCTTTGTGTACTACAATATCATCTAGAACTCATTTTTTGCTTTCGACTTTAACCACTCAACAAAACACCCGAGTCAAGTGTCCACTAATTACCTCGACGTCCCAGGTAGCAGCCGCCCATTACACACATCCGTACAGCATAATCCTGATACCTACACACTTTTATCTTCCCCTTTTTATTTTGTTGTTTTTCAACTTCCGACTGCTTAATCACTCCCGCCTGGCCCTGCGGCCCTTCATCCAGCCCGCGCACGAACAACCCCCCGTCCCGCCGCCCCCGCCACGTGTGCCTCTTTATACTTTTTTTACGTCTGACTGCAAACAAAATTGAGGACGACATAAAAAACCGTCCGCACACGACTTTACAGGGCCATATTTGCGTGCTCGCAAAAAACTACAATCATTACGGAAACGCTGTTTGCATTTGGAAATTGCCGTCGTAAAGTAGCGTTCGGGAAAAAAGGGAGTTTGCCCAACGCAGAGATAAAAAATTCCACAATCAATCTTCATAAATCAAGATAATTAATTAATTCGTTTATAACGCGGCCCGGGATTGACGCTTCGATTCAGATTTAAATTACTTTCGGAAAATTAAAGTTTGGCCCAAAAAGCGCAGCTAATTTAAGCGAATAGTTCAGGACGTACGGAAAAAACTGCTTAAACGACTAATTAAATGCGCTCGCTCTATATATTTTTTTTTTTTTTTGGTGAGCGAAACCGGTTTATTGCAGTTTCCGACGATAAAGCGCATAACCACATGCAGCCATTAATTCCTCGTTTTAATTATGTGTGGGTTTACTCTAGTAAAAGCCCTTTAATCATTTAAAACTATTTTCATCGCTGTAAAATAATTAAAAGAGTAAATATTTGCCACTGCTGAATTTTACACGCAGTGCTTAATTTTGTACCGGAAGCGCCGAGCGAAATATCCTGAAGTTTACACTCGAATAATAATTTCTCTTTACATTGTAAATAAATAAAATGGCTGCTTTATCTTTACTTGTTTTCCGCTCTGGATTCTGGAAGTTTATAACTAGAGTTTGAACATTACGGTTTTCGGATTGAAAAAAAAAATGGATCCGTCGTAAATTCGCCAGCGAGATAAAACGGACAATTGTGGCAACTTTTGAGCTGTGTTTGCTAGAAACGAACAGAATAACGTAGTTTACCTATTTCAGCAAGTTATTTCTTTGGAGCTGTGTTGTGAAGAGTTTTAATAATAAGGATAATAATAACTAATAACAATAATAATAATTTCTCAATTCAATGGCATTTCTTAAGCTACGTTTTTTTAATAATAATAATAATAATAATAATAATAATAATAGTGTTTATTAGTACATATAAAAAAAGTCGTTGTACAAGTCATAAATTCAATATAAAGCACATTACATACATATGGATATTTATAACTTTAAAATCAAGTCAAAACATTGGATGGGGGCACAATTACTGAGATAAGACTGATTTTGGCAGATGACATATCCTCTAAAAAAATAGGGGGCAAGATCCTAAAATTGATAAAGCGAAAAATTTTTTAAGTTAAAATTATTAGTTCTACATTTCAAATGAAAACTAGAAAAATTGTAATTCAAAAGTTGAAGAAACGAAAAATGAAAAAATCTAAAAGTTGAAAATTTAAAAAATTGAAAAAAAAAATCATAAACTATGAACATTGAAAAAAAAAAGAAAATTAAAAAACAGAAACAAAAATTTTCGAAAATAGTTGAAAAGTGGTTGAACATATCAAAAGTGCCAAAATCAGTCTTATCTTATCCATTATTAGCCCCGCCCACCCACCCTGTATTTTCTTACAAGGTAATGTCATTTGCCAAAATCAGTCTTACCTTAGCAAGTACTAGCCCCGCCCACCCGCCCATTATTTTCTTATAGAATGTCATCTGCCAAAACGTGTCTTATCTTAGCTAGTATTGGGTAAAATAAGACTGATTGTGGCAAATGACATACCCTCTGAGAAAAGAGAGGGCGGGTGGGCGGGGCAAGTGCTTGGTAAGATAAGACTGATTTTGGCAAATAAACTTGGTAAGATAAGACTGATTTTGGCAAATAACATATCCCCTAAAAAAAGAAAGGGCGGGTGGGCGGGGCAAATACTTGGTAAGATAAAGAGTGATTTTGGCAAATAACATATCCCCTAAGAAAAGAGAGGGCGGGTGGGCGGGGCAAATGCTTGGTAAGATAAAGAGTGATTTTGGCAAATAACATATCCTCTAAGAAAATAGAGGGCAAGATCATAAAATTGAAGACGTGAAATGAAAACTAGAAAAATTGTAATTCAAAAGTTGAAAAAACGAAAAATGAAAAAAATCTAAAAATTGAAAATTTAAAAAATTGAAAAAAAAGGAAAATTGTAAAATATGAACACTGAAAAAAAAAGAAAATAAAACAAACAAAAATTTTCGAAAATAGTTGAAAAGTGGTTGAACATATCAAAAGTGCCAAAATCACTCTTATTTTATCAATTATTAGCCCCGCCCACCCACCCTGTATTTTCTTACAAGGTATATCATTTCCCAAAATCAGTCTTACTTTAGCAAGTACTAGCCCCGCCCACCCGCCCATTATTTTCTTATAGAATGTCATCTGCCAAAATCTGTCTTATCTTAGCTAGTGTTGGTTAAGATAAGACTGATTGTGGCAAATGACATACCTTCTGAGAAAAGAGAGGGCGGGTGAGCGGGGCAAGTACTTGGTAACATAAGACTGATTTTGGCAAATAACATATCCCCTAAAAAAAGAGAGGGCGGGTGGGCGGGGCAAGTACTTAGTAAGATAAGACTGTTTTTGGCAAATAACATATCCCCTTTACATAGGTAATTGTAAAATGCATTTTTGATGAGATAATCTGATATTTGTCTCTTAAATTGCTTTATACCAAGATTTTGAGTACTTTCTGATAATTTATTGTAAAATTTGACAGAGTAATAATTGAATGACTCGTTTCTTTTTAACCTTACAAAATTTGGAAGAAGTGCAGCGTTGTGACGTGTGTTATACGAGTGAATATCTTTGTGTCTCATATGATTATTAATGTTAAGTTTAAGATGTAGCAGTGAATTTAATATATATATTGACGGTAGGGTTAATATTCTTAAGGATATAAAATATGAGCGGCAATCATCCCTATAACCTATGCCTGCAAGAATTCTTATTGCTCTTCTTTGGAGCCTAAATATGCGATTACAGATGCTGGCATGACCCCATGTTAGGATACAGTATCTTAGATGCGATTCACATAAAGCAAAATATGCTGTTCTGAGCACTTGATTTGATACTTTATTTTTAAGACTCCTTAACACAAATAAGTTTTTGCTAATTCTATTGGCCAGCTCGTCGCCGTGAACTTTCCAGGTTAGTTTTGCATCCAAATGTATCCCAAGGAATTGTGCTGAAGTGGTGAAATCGGGTGGAACATCGCTATTTTTTAAAGAAAATAACAGTGGTAGTTTTTTTTTGCGTTCAAGCTGAGGTCGTTTTGTTTGAACCAATCCTCAGCTCTCGATTGCGTCTCCTCTCTTTTGACGCAGATAGTCTCCGTCGATGTTGCTTGGTTTATTAGGGTTGTATCGTCTGCATACAAGATAATTTTTGAGCCTATACTAGAAGATAGGCCGTTAATAAAAATAATGAATATGAGGGGCCCCAGGATGGACCCTTGTGGCACACCTTTTCTGACAGGAAGACAATCGGATAATTGTTCCTTATATTTGACAACCTGGTGTCTATCTTCCAGATATGATCTAATAAGTTGAATGCTAGACGGTACCAAGTTGTAGGCTGTCAGTTTTTTGAGGAGAAGTTTATGCGAGACGCAGTCGAAGGCTTTGGACAGATCTAGAAAAGACGCAACTGCAATTTTACGATCTTCAAAGCACTGAGATATAAAATTAACTAACTCCTGAACAGCATTACCAGTGGAACGGTTTCTCCTAAAACCATATTGTGAGTCAGAAAGTAAAGCATGTGATTCAAGATAAGTACAAAGTTGTTCAAATAGAATTTTCTCTAATATTTTGACAAATATGGGAAGTAATGAGATAGGTCGATAATTAGATGGATTATTAGTATCACCCTTTTTGTATACTGGTACCGTGACCGCTGTTTTAAGACATTTGGGAAAGACACAATATTTTATGCAAAAGTTAATAAATTTTGCAAGTGGAGGTATCAGCAAGTCCTTTATACTTTTGACAATTTTCACATTAAGATTAAAGATATCAGAAGAATTACTATTTTTCAGGTTATCTATGGCTTCTCTTACTTTTATGCGTGACACTTCTTTAAAACTGAAACTAGGGCTATCAATCAAGGAGTGAGTAGACTTACTTGCCATATCACAGAGTTCAATATCACAGTCATTATTGCTTTGCGTTCCCAATTTTGAAATTTCATTTATAAAATAGTTATTAAAATCGTCACAGGTCATATCACAGCTTAATTTTTGACTATTAACACTTTTATTGCGAGTTTCGTTGATAATTTTCCACATAGCCTTGACTTTACTACTTCCAGTAGAGATGAATTTTTCATTACAAAGCATTTTCTTTTCATTTATTTTGTCACGATATACTTTCCTAAACGAGTTTTTTGCTGACTTGGTTTGTTCACTCCCAATTAGATTATTTATATCACATAAATGTTGTAATGTTTCCCGCATTTGAATTAATTCACTATCAAACCACTTTACAGTTTTGTTGTTGTTAAGTTGACGCTTGACTTCTTTTAGAGGGAAGGCTTGCCCTACATGACCTTCTATTAGATTTACAAATTTTGTGAACAAGTCGTCAACTGAATTATTACTGCATAGCTTAATGAAGTCCCAGTTGATATTGGACACCGACTCGTACAATTTGAATTTACTAAGAGCAGTAATTAGCCTATGTTTAATAAGCTGTGTTTTTTGTTTGTTTTTAGTAGACGAAATTAACACTTCAATTTTGATGCCTCTATGATCTGATAGGTGTAAATTCCATGGACTAATTTGAAAAAGTGCGTGATCTAGATTTGTAAAAACGTTATCCAGACAGTTGTTATTTCTAGTTGGAAATTCGACTAAGTGAAAAAGCCCATAAGTTCTCATAAAATCTAATAAGCTGTCTTTTAAGAGGTCTTCTTTGTCAAATTTTACATTAAAGTAACCAGTCAATATTATGTTGTTCTTTAATGTGTTAATTATACCAAAAACTTTTTCTAAAGTACTCAAAAATTTGTTCAGACCTCCAGAGGGTGATCTATAGACATTTATCACATACATTTCTAGGCTATTCATATAAATTTCAGATATCTCACGATGTTTCTCAATTGAGAGTTGTTCGAGATTTTGGAAACGAGTGCAAGAAACTTCAGCGTTCCT